CAGAAAGGAAACATTCTGGTGTTGTTTCTAGCCTAATCTTTATTGCCCTGCTTACAGAAACTGCCTCTCCAGTTAACCCTTATTACCATAAGGTGAAGTGCCCATCGACCTGAGTGACATTGACTTGGCCATGCCCACATGATCACATGACCACCAAGCCCCACCTACCCAGCTGATCATTAGGGCAGAGAACTGGTTGATAAATTATTTGAATCCCACCACTGATCTGGGCCCACCTGTCTTATGCAAATCACATCTTATACCACCAAGTTACAGGCATACACACACACAGACACACGCACACGCGTGCGTGCACACACACACAATAAAACCTGACTTTGGCACTAATCTATCCATTGTCAGAATGTCTATTTCTGCTATGATGCCTTTGCTTTGCAATTTTACTCTTTTCTTTAGGCCGTACAGAAAATTTCCAGGATGCCTTCAATACCCAAGGACTCGTTTTGGACAAACTACCTTTAGCTTTTTATGCAGGGATGTTCGCCTACTCTGGATGGTATGCATTCTTAATGTATATTTCTGAAACCTTCTCGTCATTTCTCACCATTACTGAAACAGCCCCTTTTTGTCTCTTGCTCCTCCCTTAATGCAGGTTTCAAACTAGTTTTGTACGAGAAGAACTGGTGAAGCCAGAACGGTGAGTTGGAAAGATGAAACTTCATTCTGGCTCAGATCAGTGTTTTTCCACTCTGGCCCTCTCCAGATGACTCCTCCGTTTGTAGGAAATGCTGGAGTTGCATCTGGAAGACACCAGGTTGGTGGAGAAGACTGGGCTAGAGTAACAGGCCTAACAAGATACATTTTTGTGGCATAGTACTTTCAGAAGAAGACAACAGGGAGGCAGAAATGATGAAACATTGCCTGAACTAAAACGTAATATTTTAATTTTGCAGTCGAATATCATTGCTGATGCTTTTGCCCTCACTATCTAGAAAACTGACAAGCCACATGAGTTCCCTATTGTGTAGATCGGGGTGTCAAACTTGATTTCATTCAGGGCCACATCAGGATTGTACTTGATGTTGGGGGTGGTGGCCATGGTGGCCGTGGCCAGTTCAATGTCACTTATGTCAGGATGGTACCTGTAGTGGCCATGTCCTAAGGCAGGACTTTCCACAGACCTCCCCCTCTCATTATAATCTTCCTTCCTTCCTTCTCTTCTTTTTCCTTCCCTCCTCATTCTCCTTTCTTCTTCCTTCCCCTCTTTCCTTATTTTTCCCTTCTTGCTCTCTTCGCATCTTTCTTTCCTCTCTCCCTTTTTCCTTTCTTGTCCCTTCTTGCATGCTCAAATGCAAAAGGGGAAACATTTCTCCTTTTGTTTTGTTTTGTTTTGAGTTTGTTTTGCTAGCCCTCTGCCAGCGAAAACAGAGTTTGGTCCTCCTAAGCTCCATTTTCTCTGTTAGAGGCCCTGTGGGCCAGTCTGTTGCTGTTTCCATGGTGGTCCCATGGGCCAAATCTAAGCATCCCACATGCCAGATTCGGCCCATATGCCTTGAGTTTGACACCCCTGTAGATAAAGAAGAAAATGTCCTTTTTTCCTTCCAGCTTTATAAAGACAAGGACCACTGGCTTTAATTTTTTTTACAAGATGAATGCTAAAACTTTAACAAAGTAGGTTTAAGGATATCTCAGGGGGACCTAAGCCTAAGATTCTAGACCAGTGATGGCGAACGTATGGCACGCGGGCCACAGTGGCATGCAGAGCCATTTGTCAAGGCCTTCTGACTTCGGCCATCTTTTGAGGCCATTTTTCACCCTCCAGAGGCTTCGCTGAAGCCTCCGGAGCATGAAAAACCGGTTTGGGAGCGGACTTCCGGGTTGCTTGTAGGGCCGGTTTTAGCCTTCTGGAGCTTTCAGGAACCCTCAGGAGGCTTCCCTGAAGGCTCCAGAGGACAAAAACGACCCTACGGACAAACTGGAAGTCACTTCCGGGTTGCTCATATGGTCTTTTTTTGCTCTCCGGAGCCTTCAGGGAAGCCTCCTGGAGGGCCCTGAAGGCTCCGGAGGGTTAAAACTGGCCCGTTTGCCTGTAGGGGCGGTTTTTTGTGCTCCAGAGGCTTCAGCGAAGCTCCTGAAGCCTCTGGAGGGCCTCGGGGAGCGGGGGGAGAGACTATTTTCGCCCTCCCCAAGCTCCTATAAAGCCTCTGGAGTCTGGGGAGGGTGAAAAAAGCACGCCAAAAATGGGGGGGGGGCGCTGGTCATGCACACATGCACACTGTGATCGTGCGCATAGCATTATGGGTGTTGCACGCCTGCACACGACCCCCCCTGTTCTCCCTGCGCTTTTGGCACTCAAGCCAAAAAAGGCTCACCATCACTGTTCTAGACTATTTTTTAAAAAACATTTGTACAACATTTGTACTATCTCATAACCAACTCTGGGCAGCTTCCAATCAAAGGCTGAAATACCATAAGAGCCCTATTAAAGCTCTAAAAACTAAACCAATTAAAAACGGATTCTGAAGTTCAGTCACCTCAACTTATCCCAGTGCTTGGAGGAAAAGCCAGGCCTTCAAAGCTTCATGGAAGGCTAGGAGAGAGGAAGCCTGTTGAACCTAAGGGGGGAGACTGTTCTGTAGGGCAGTGGCTGCCATGGAAAAGGCAGAGGTTTTAGATCCCATCAAATAGCAATATTTAGGAGAAGGGACTAGAAGCATACCCACTTTATCTGACTTGGTTGGATGGGTAGAGGTCCTTAGGGAGAGGCAGTCATATAGATAGATAACCCAGGTCTGTGGCATAATAGACAAGTCATTGTTTCAATATACTGTGGTTAAAATTGATTTCCTAAGAGTCCTTTACAAATTATGTACATCTGTTCAGATATAAACTCTATTAAGCTGAAAGGGAAGGCTTCCTTCTGTGTACATGCAATGCATACCGAATTGCAGGGCCCGTCTGATGAGTTCATGTGTGAAAAATAATGAAAAGAAGAGAGTAATTAAAGATACATACGAGAGCTGCACATTGCCAAGCACTACATACCATGGATACGATGCAAATGTCTGAATGGGTTCTAGGAGCTAGAAAAGGATTCTACACATGCGAGGCAAGACCAGAAGCAACATAGAAACTAAACAAAGAGAGAAGCAATCTGGAATTAAGGTTTAACAAATCGAACCGCTTGCCTTCAGAAATCGTGGGAGCTTCATCAGTGGAGGTTTTAAAGAAAAGACTAGACAGTCACGTGTCTGAAATGGTATAAAGTCTCCTGCTTGAGCAGGAGGCTGGACTAGAAGACCTCCAAGGTTTTTTCCAGCTCTATTCTGATTGACGTGCAATATATTAGAGCCAGAGGTGGGTTCCTACCAGTTCGCACCTATTCGGTAGAACCGGTTCGTCAAATCTACCGAACCGGTTAGAAGAGATTCCACACATGTTTTCTGGACAAGTCCATATACTTGAGCTCTGTGTAATTGTCATTAATTCAATTCTCATCCAAATATTAACTTTGGCTCCCTCTAGAGGCTTTATGTTATATTTAAAAGACTGATTTCTGCAACCTCTTTAGCCAATGCATGGACATGAAGAGAAATGAGAAATTGTTCTGACAAATGTTTCTGAATTATAAAATTGTGTGTACTTGAAAGGCAGTTAATAGCAACGAATGACAGCAGTGATAGACATTCAAAAAAGGAAAATTTAATGAATTTTAATTAATAACCATTTATATATTAATAAATTAATAACAATAAATAGTAATAATACATGTCATTTCATTTCAAAGTATGCAGTGGCTCAGTGGATAAGACACTGAGCATGTTGAGCAGAAGGTTGGCAGTTGGCCGGTTCGAATCCCTAGTGCCACATAACGGACTGAGTTCCCGTTACTTCCCCCAGCTTCTGTCAACCTAGCATTTGAAAGCATGTAAAAATGCAAGTAGAAAAATAGGAACCACGTTTGGTGGAAAGGTAACAGCGTTCCCTGCGCTTTCTGTGTTTAGTCATGCTGGCCACATGACCACGGAGACGTCTTTGGACATTGCTGAGTCTTCGGCTTTGAAATGGAGATGAGCACTGCCCTCTAGAGTTGGAAACGACTAGAACCTTTACCTTTTTTTATTTCATTTCATTTCTGAAATGGCATAGGGTCTCATGCTTGAGCAGGGGATTGGACTAGAAGGCCTCCAAGATCCCTTCCGGCTCTATTATGATTAATTGATTGATTGATTATTTTAAAAGCTATCCTACTCATGTTCATCTGCTATTTGAATTTAGCTCTAGGATTATGCTGTACAATAATTTGTTTAAAATTATTTTAGGATGCCAAGTGGAGGACAAGTTGGCCTCTATTATGTCATATGGCTAAGAAGCCCAGAATATATAAAGGCGACACATTTCCAAAAGAACAATGACTAGAAAAAAAATCATCCTGACCTGTATTGGATATAAATATTACCTACCTCTTCATTCCAGCCAATTGATCTTCTACTTGTTATCCTGACTCTTACCTCCCTTTGGAACGGTTATCTGGAGCTTCCATTGTTTAAATGAGCTTTTGAGCTAAGTTCTGTTCTGAAGTTCTGTTTTACTTCATTCTTTACTCCCAGGAGTAGAAGATAGTTTACTTGGCTTTAAGTTCCACTCAGAGCTGAAGACATTTCTTGGATGAGAAGTGAAACATCTTTTTTTTTAACTGAAAAGTTTTTTTATTTTTTGTTCTCTATATACAGTTATAGGTATACATTCACATAGTTATTATTCTTTTTTACATTCATCATTGTTATATATTTGTCATTCCATTTTCAGGGTTATAACATACTGTTTGGGTTGCTTTATTTACCATCCCTTGCCTGTTTTGACGCCACCTTCTTTTCCCTATCTTTTCTCCCTCCCTTCTCTACTTCCTTCCTTCCTCCTCTCCTTTCCCTTCCTTCTTCCCCTACTTCTCCCCTACTCCTCTCTTCCTCTTCTCCTTCCTACCCCCTCTCCTTCTCTCCTTCTCCTTTCCACCTTCCTCTCCTTACCTAGAGAAGTGGAACATCTTTAAAGAAAAACCAGAACGTCCAGTTGCCTCTTGAAAAGGCACCTTTGGGATTGCCACTCTAAGACACTCCGTGGTTTTCATCCGCTAACTGCCCTCTCATGGAAACCGGGGAGCCATTGCCTGGCATAAGATGGTTGAATAATTTTGGTCATGCTTTCTCACCATTTGAAAATTGCACTTCCAATCTCTGTGGAGGGCATAAGGTCCAAGACAGCTGAATTAAATCTTAACTGGGATATGGGCTATGGAGGTACTCACAAATGTCTCTCTTTCCTTTTCCTTTTTGTAGAAATATCCCTCTGGCTGTGATTGTGTCTGTAATCACAGTGATCGTGGGGTATATGCTCACCAATGTTTCCTATTACACAGTACTGACAGCAGCAGATGTCCTTGTCTCCCAGGCAGTGGCTGTGGTGAGTTGAAAGTCAAGGCTGTTTTTACAATCATTGTAAAACTAACATACACACACACACACACACACCTCACTGCACCCCTCACTGACTGCACCCCTTTCAACACAGACATTCCAGGGGGTTCAATTTGCAATGGATGAAAGAGAGGTTTAGCAATTAAGTGGCAATTAAACACAGTTTCATTGAATAAGGCTCCCAAGAGTTTGTTTTGTCTCTGTGAAGCCTTGAAATAGCAAACAGTATGAATATTCACACAGGGGTGGGGGCTCAGGTGGAGACAGCATGGTTATCTCTCTCTCCCNAAACTGCTTAGAGAAAGTGGTAAAGCACTGTAAAGTGGTATATAAGTCTAAGTGCTATTGCTATTGCATGGCACAGGAACCCTAGCTATATTAGCAACCTCTTTTCCATGTCTGTAATCTATTTAAAGATGTCTAAAAAAGAATAGGCATGGGCAAATGTGTGCTCTTCTACTGACCCAGATAGCACCTGGAACCAATTATCCATTAGTAGCGGGATAAGTTCTCTTTCTAATGCATAACTCTAAGTTGAGGATTGGCTTGAAGACCTGGACTTTGTAGCAACAGCTGGTTTGAAAGATTTAGACTGTTCCACTACACAAATTAGGTTGGCCAGGGACACAAGGCCCAGAGTGATTGCAAGTAGGATCCTATTCCTTAGGATCCCATGCCTGTAAGTCACCTGGTTTACAGGAATGGAGAAGAGCAGGGAGAGCTGAGGGTGGAGTTAAATGTGTCATAAGTTTAGAGTCTTTGCGTTGCCATAAGCAGTCCAGCTTCCTTGAATTCCATTGATAATTATCAATTGAGATTTGAAATGTAATTGACTAAATACTTGTGTATAGGCTTGAGCAATAAATATTTCTGAATTGCAATTTAATTTATAATCCTGATCCTTGACAGTTCGAAGACTGATAATATCTTTGCTAAATAAGAGGAAACCATTTGCATTCAGATTAAGGCTTAAATTTAAATTTAAGGTTTCCTCAGATGGGATCAAATGAATACTTGATGCTATGCAAGTGGAAAACCCTGGTGTTTGCACTGGAGCATTTGGCTCTGTTCAAATTATTGTTTTCAAATCTATTCATTTCACAATACATAGCTAAAGCTACAGTATCTATCTATGAACAAATATTTTGGGTCAGATTTTGTCAGTGGATCTACTGCTATTTGCATTTATAGTATTACAGTATTAAGCGTAGCAACAAGGATTAACATACTTGAATTTTAATCCATTTTATTTTAAAAAATCAGCTTTAAAAGCCAAAGTGATTTGCTTTATTGAGATATTTCACTTTACGAAAAGTAAGCAGTAATATCTGTCCCTAAAATAGTAAAGAAGAAACAGACTTAGGTTTCATGTTTTTCAATGTCTGGTACATAGGCCAACGTAGCTTTAAATGAGCAGAACTATCCTCTTCTTTTCTGCAAAACAGAATGTGCTTGAGACAGACATTGGGGAAATTTCTTGCCTTTTTGTGATTGGGAATGTGGGTGGAAGAGATCTATTATTCTATTACAATCCACCCATCCGAACCACGTTCATTATTAACATTGAACTACACCCTCTACAAAGTTGGAGGTAACAATAGTGTGCCCAAATGGATGTATTTGTAACCTTCCAAATTCATGTGAGACAGTAATGGTTTTCTCTTACCTTCGCTACCAGTTCAGAACTGGGAGCTCATGTGTGGTGCTTCTGCGCATGCCCAGCTCGTTCTGCACACGCGCAGAGTGTCCATGATGACATCTGGGCAGGTGGGCGGACCCTCTTGCTGCCATTACCGGTTCGCCAAACTGGGGTGAACCAGCAGAATACCACATCTGATTTCTATCTATCATCTATCTATCTATTATCTCTCTCTAATTACGGTATCTATCTATCTATCTATCTATCTATCTATCTATCTATCTATCTATCTATCTATCTATCTATCTATCTATCT